AGGCTCAGGTCATGTCTCTAGATTTAAACTTCAGAGCAGAGGAGCAAACAGTCACTTAGAGGCCCCAAGGCTCAGGTCATGTCTCTAGATTTAAACTTCAGAGCAGAGGAGCAAGCAGTCACTCAGAGGCCCCAAGGCTCAGGTCATGTCTCTCGATTTAAGCTTCAGAGCAGAGAAGCAAACAGTCATTAGCGCCGGTCGCCTACATAGCTACTCTTAACCAAATTGTCGGATTGGTTGTCATTTATATTATATTGCGGGTTTGAATCTTGGACCGCTAGGCTACGCTTGAACCACTTGAAAAAAACAACCCCAAAACAAATCTGAATATTTTTTATAATATTTATAATGTTTTAAACCACTTGCTCTAGCAGTAAAGACATTCTTAGGAAAACTACTTAAAGTTTCATTTTGGTCGTCATAACAAATTAAGGTTATTGGATAATAGTGACGTGTACAGGTGGGTGACTGGGTGGACTCAAGCTCCTGCCTTCCTGCCCTTTTTTTTTGTCTGTCATAAAAATTGTCGACAATTACGAAAAGGTACAACTGATTCTACACTTTACTTGCTGCGAGGTATTAAGAAAGTTTGTTTGTTTGTTTGTAATTAAGCACAAAGCTACACAAGGGCTATCTGAGCTCTGCCCACCACGGGTATCGAAACCCGGATTCTAGCGTTGTAAGTCCGCAGACATACCGCTGTACCACTGGGGGGCGGTATTAAGAAAGGATTTCAACTTTAAATGGAACACAGGGTCTTGTATGACCTTACAGTAAAATAATAATATTTGTAATATACTGTTAAGTGTTAATGGGCAAAAATTCACTGTTTAGTTTTAGGTCATAAGAGTGTTTATAAGATTAATTAAGTATTAATGAAGGAAGACCTGTTTCTCATGGCTTTTGACCATATGTGTACCAGAGGCAACCCACAGTCCCCTAACACCCCCCCCCCCCCCAGAAAAAAAAGATTGCATTACGATTATTGGGTACACGTTGAAAAACGTGTCTAAGTAAAGTCGAGGTACGAACAGAACTGTTTCGAACAGGTGTCCACTTTTTTTTCTAACAGGATCATGTGCGGCTGTTCTTTGTTGGGGCACAACAATGGTAAACTACAGAGTGATAATATTTGTTGATAGATGCAGCTCAAATACCAAGTTTACGACGAAAACTCATCTTATAAGTGAATAAAAAATGAAAGCTGAGATTAACTTGTTTATCACTAAGCACGTATTATGTAGAGATGGGCCGAGAATAAAATGACTGTCGCATTCAACCTGTTACTCTATGATGCTTACAAATAACTGCTAAAGTTGAGATATAGCTTTATATGAGCACCTAATTGCCGTTACCGAGTGTTTCACAGCTTGTGAGACTCCCAGTGTCATAGAAACGTGTTGTTAAAGTGGAGAACTTGGAACTAGCTAAAGAGCCAATGTGTTCATCTTTTTTTTTTCTTCTCCCACGCTAGCCAAAAATTGTGTGAAGTTTTTACAATGGCTTTAGTACGAAAGAAAAGTATTTTAAGAATACTTGGGAACAGGCTATCACTAAGCATGGTGGTGCTTCTTTTAACAAAGTTAAGTACAGGGTGAAATAGGAATTGCCAACCAATAATAGATGAACATTAGATGACTGTAGCATGTAGAATACTCAATGCTTTGTACACTATACAGTCGGTGTCTTTAGGGAGCCAACCTCAATATTATGTACGAAGTGAAGGAGTAAAAAAAAAAATCAATACACATAATATTAAATTTTATTACACACACATTCATAGAGTAAACTAACTTTTAGTCAGAGGGAAAAACGTCACAAAACACATAATAAAAACATTTTGTAAATGTAAAATGATGTGGGGATGGCAGTGCCAAAATGAATGTAAACGTGAATATAGAGATGATACAGCTATGCATCTGTCACTTGTTCCTTCCTTACTGTAGGTTCTTCAACATTAAGTCCCATGAAGTCAAGATTATGACCAGTAATGATTAATAATCTATTGTAACCAATTATATGTCATATCAGTGTCTGAGGTCAGTCAAAGAGTACAATGAAGAAACTGACAAAACTGATATGATATTAACAATATATATTACCATTTAATTATATATATATAACAGATGTTCACTTATCAACCTACTTCAATGAAATTGTTTTTAAAACAAGTGATAAACAAATAATAGAAAACAAATTTGTAAAATTTAATTATGATGTAGGGATGGCAATGCCAAAAAGTACAGAAACAAGGTAGGAATGAATACACAAAACCATATAAAAAATCACTGAATAAATGATCAGATCTTTCCAAGAATAACTTTGAAAAACAGAAACAAAAACCTTTCTTCATCGTAAACTGTTAATAATAATTTTATAGCACATCTGTATTGACTCACGATACTCTTTTTTTTATCAATGATTTTTACCCAAAATTTTGACAGCGTTTATGTTGTTTTGTATTTTAATTTTGGAACTTTTGTGCTGCCGTTTCGGAGTTATCTTGTTAACCTAAAACCACAATGTTGTCGTTTCAGAGAAAACTCTCGATAGCATTTAATTCAAGTCTAGAGGCTAGAGCCAGAACGATTATTTCACGGATATTATTTGTCAGAGTATAACTCGGCATGTGATAATATTCGATAGAAATTGTCCACCAGTTGGACAGGGGTAAGTCTACGGACTTAAAAATCAAAAATCCGGGGTGCGATTCTTCGCAGTGGGCACAGCAGATAGCCCAATGTGGCGTTGCTCTAAGACAAATAAACAAACAGAAATGATATTCTATAGCGTATCCCTCGGCACAAAGTACTGTTTTGTAAAATATGCCGCTACATGAAATGATATTTGATACAGTACACCAGTACATGAAATGATATTTGATACAATATACCAGTACATGAAATGATATTTGATACAGTATACCAGTACGTGAAATGATATTTGATACAGTACACCAGTACATGAAATGATATTTTATACAGTACACCAGTACATGAAATGATATTTTATACAGTACACCAGTACGTGAAATGATATTTTATACAGTACACCAGTACATGAAATGATATTTGATACAGTACACCAGTACATGAAATGATATTTGATACAGTACACCAGTACGTGAAATGATATTTTATACAGTACACCAGTACATGAAATGATATTTGATACAGTATACCAGTACATGAAATGATATTTGATAAAGTATACCAGTACATGAAATGATATTTGAT